GACCATTTGATCTGGGTATCTAGAATGTCCCTATAAGTTGAAATAGGTCTCTACCTAATTCCGCTATTGGATGGAAGTTGCTTTACGTTGCTGGTTGTGTCCGACACAATATAACATAATAAACTTTAGCTTGCAAATTTGTGCAGGTCTGCCACTCGTGCTACTCATAGTTTTTGACGTGAAAGTCAGCCCAGAGTACAAGAGGAATTAAACCGCACAAGTCAACTGTGCTTTAAGGCCCTCCTTCCTTTCTCCGCAGGAAGATTGGTAATGTTCCGTACTTGTGTCGGTAGTTTATAGTTCGCACTCATGTCTCGGTCAAGTGGTTCCTGTGGTCTTTAATGATCCCAAAACCAATATTTTGCATTGTCTTCCGTTGAATTTAGTATCCCACCAGATACAGTGTGGGCGAAAAGGACCACCTGCGTTAATGGAATTGCTCTCGCGTGGATTTTAGACTTGGCCAATTTGGTAGGATCAAGTAAATTAGCTATGAGAAGGGTTCTTACTCGCTTGTCTAAATACTTGCATTCGCGTCACCTAGCCGCATGCTCAAAGCGAGCTATAACTTCTGTAAACATCTCCCTACTTGCAATGCGAATTTTTTTAGGTAGCCGATCTAACATTTCGCCGAAAGAGGCATTATCGCAGCATCGACAGTTCTCCAAGGTCAGACACCGGATTCGGTCCATGTTCATGATGGTGCGTAACAAAGAAGCCCAAGCTCCAGCTTCACCGTCACAGGCATTATCAAATGCACTATTGTCGCGTTGAGTGCTGAATTCCACATTTTGCTGAATTTGGTGACGGCCGGAAAACGTGACGTTCTGGAGAACTATGTTTTCCAGTGTAGACCCGTGGCGCAAGAGGAAGCCCTCTAGCTCAGAAGATGTTGTGTTGAGGCTCCCGATTAGCAGATCTCGTAGTTGATGGATGGTCAGATAGGTCAGCAGGCTTTGGGACTCCGATATGCTTGGCCCAGGGGGGTCAAAGTCGTCAAGGTCGTCATGGTCGCTGCTGTGGCCAAGTTGTTGAACGTGGGAAAAATAGTGAACGGCTTGATCATGGATGAAGGCATGCTTAAATATTAACTGAAGGCGCGACAGCCTTGGGAAGGTTTTGAGGAAGCGAGCAAGACTTGTATGCCACATGGCTACTTGAGGATTATTGGAAGAGCGAACTAGTAGTCGGAAAGAAGTGAAACTGGCCAAAGAACGGTGGACTAGGCTCTGGCGGAGCAGTTCAATGGTCACCGAGGCTGTCGTGACCACACATTGAAGTGGACAGTTGGCAACTGTCAAGTCCCTAACTCGCGACATGACGTTTATCGTGCGTAATAACGACTCCCAGCCCTTCATTCCACCCATAATCACCCTGTCGAGCTTCACCACCTCAAGAGTCGAGTCATGCCGTTGTAGCAACTCGACTAGTTCACGGGATTTGGTCGAAAGGTAGCTGAGCTCCAAGACTCGCAAGTTTGGAATGTTTATCCGCTTCGAGAGAATCTGAAATAATCTGCCATTTCCGGGTGGGAGCGGCTGGTTCCCACCAAATGACAAGGCAAGGTGTGACAGCCGAGGGAAGAGCTCAAAGAAAGGACCTACAGTGCTCTCCAGATATGCATTTTGTTCAGGGCTGTAAACTGGAGAGACAACCAGACGGAGGGAGGTCAATCTCCTGAGCCTCCAAGGGGCAGAGCTGTGAACCAATGGTATCCTGTCGACTAGCATTTTCAGGTCGATAGAGCTTCTACTCGCTGGCTCGTCAATATGGCCCAAGTAAATGTCAAGTTCCTCAATAAGCAGTTCTGGGCTTGCTGCCGCGAGAAACATAGCCTCCAAGATACGCTGGACATGATGCACGGACTCAGGGTCGGAAGGATTGAATCCTCGACGATATTTCGACCCAACTTCTCTGATGAGGCGACACACGCCCCAAGGGTTTTTGGTGTCTGTGAGTATGAGCTTTCTGCAATTGGGGAGACCTGACATTGCTCGTCTAAGGCAGTTAAGATATTCCATGCGAATGAAATCCTGCTGATCCTGAAACTTTTCACGGTACGTAACGACTTTAAGATCCTCCTCGCCTTTGTCATCGCAAAACCAAGAGGAGTCTTCGTTGCCCAAATAATGGACAGCTGCCCCCTCCAAAATGGAGTCTCGCCTCTCGAGAAGTTCATCATCAACATACACTCTCGGTAGAAACTCTGTACCAATGCCTACAGCACGCACGATAGGTCCCAGGATTTTGTGTCTTGAGATGGCTGTCAGAGCACCCATGCTGCGCCGTTCAAAGAATACATGCCGCACTTGAAAAAATCGCACGAACACGTTCCTGCTTTTCTTGTCTAAGTCTCGACATGATTCACGCAACGATCCGAGATCAAGTGGTGAAAGAAACGCGGCTATCAGGCAGATAAGTTCTGTAGGAAGATCCAATAGTGCTGCCATGGCTGGTATGGACGAGGTTCGCAGTAAGGATAGGTTGGGCTTGAAATTCGCAGCAGTGTAAGACATCTTTGTCCACATCATGAACAACAACTTCAAGCTGCGTCCTACGCTTTAAGTAGCAGAATATTTCCAAAGAACTCAGAAACCTTGAAGTATGAAAAGGGGTCCACTGCCGGCGCGATAAGAACGTCCAATCCTGCATGGTGTAGCTATTGATGCAAAGCCAAACCTTCCTCACCTTCCCAACAGACCACTAGGACACAGGACAGGAGCAAAATCTGGCATTGAAAATAGCAAGGTTCATTAGAATACTTGGCCATACATGATCTGGATTGCCTCATGTTTTGAGTCTTTGCTTGCGTTGCCGGCAGATTTCCATTCTGGCAAGTGTTTCCGTGAACCCAGCTGTCGACGGTGAGATCTATTTCGGAACCTTCCCTAGTATCCCTCCATTGGTAATCACTGCAGGTTGCATTAGTTGCGTGGACTGACCCCGTCCGCCAGAAACAAAACAAAAAGCCTTACCACAATACAGCGAGTAAGGGACATCGGGAATGCCGGAATGAACTTAAACACAGGAACAAAGCTCAGAAGTTATCAACTCAACATCAGTATTGCTGCCCAATAGCTGGACCTGGGATGCTGGAAGCGTGGCACTTGCCCATCGAAACTTATCCATATCATGGATTTCTCCACTCAGTCACAGTGAGAAGGAACCAAAACATGTCAACAAACCAAATTTGGTGAAAATTCAGTGCATCAAACTTTAGACCCTTATTACAAAATGCTTTGATTATCCTTGCATATACATTCGACCAGCTCCCCGGGAAGGAGACAGAGACGCTACTAACAAGGAGTACCACAGGTTATATGAAATATGTTATCTCGGCGGTAAGTGTGCAGAGATCTATCCTCAGTTTAGTGATAAATTTTGAGGTCCTTCACAAGAGGCTCTTCAAGTGCGTTACTAAACGACAGTTGAAGAGTCAAAGTCTAGACTCAGTCCAAAGCTGAACATACAGTCCATGCAGACTTCAGACTTCTCTGTCCTTTATAACTACATGCCGCAACACTTTCGTGCGACCAAAACCACTTCAGCGTGCCGTAAGCAGATAGGCATATTACAGTGTCATGGCCTGGTTCCAATTCTCAGCACTATTCCGTAATGCTACATAGGGATATCTGTATTCCGTAATGCTACAATTATGTCAGCTGCCTTGAACCTCAATTTGATTCCAAGATGATGCCCTTCGTATGCCCTTCGTCATCTTGCCGAGGACTTTCGTAACTGTGTGATGCACATAACATGGAGGCCGCCTTTCCGTGTTATTATCTCCCCGTTTATTCCAATACAACAGAAAGTACAGTTGCTAACTTTGCAAGCCGCTCTTTGGGACTATATATACTCCCATTCTACTGGCGAGACAATGCGTACTCTTGCGGCCAGACTGTGCTTTGTCGTTTCATGTAAAGAATAGACGCAGATATTAAAAAGGCTTCCGCGCTGTCAGCGTCAGCGTATGCTGCTTCATTACCGTGTTCGTTTGGTCCGAACATTGGTCGCATTTGGTGTTGGCAGCCAGCAGTGGCTCGTTCGATGATCCAGCAGCGTACTTTACCTTCCCAACCTGACATACCGTAAACAGAGTCGCCGATGTTATAGTCAAGGTGCTTCCTGGCTGCCTTTTCCAATTGGTCCTCTGCGTCATTTGTGTTTCCGCCAGGGTGCTTTGGTCCTGCGAATAGTAATAAAGTCGCCGAGGATATATTTTCATCAGACCCAAGAATTTCTCGTACAGCAGCGTCGACCCTCTCTCTATCATCATCAGACGGAGACCACTGACAGGATAAGGCGTATCCCTCTGATTGTGGAAACTGCGAGGCCAGGTAAGTCTGCCAGAAGGCGTCTGGTTTGGACTCGCTGCCGTGGCTCTGAAGCTCACGATAAAGATGTATTAAAATAGGGTTCGTTAAGAGACTCATGTTCGGCGAGAATTTTTGCAGGTAGTAGATCAGCAATCAGATGGAAAGGGAGTTTCTGCGTGGCCAGACTAGTGCACTCGTCGCCGTGCAATATGACGCAAGATGCCTGGAGGCAACAGCCAGACGGCTAACTTACCCTGTAGGCAAGCAATGAGCCGGTATAAGCGACAGAAAAAGGATTGCGCCGTCTGAATAGAATTCCTAGAAACATTAACCTCGATATTCATAGCTCCATTTAATCAACGTCCGTTGCCGCTGCTATTAGCAAGGGGCTGGCTGGCATGGCATTTGTGGCCGCCGGCATTGTGGTGTTAGATATTTTTGAGCTCTTTTTGTTACGCCATGACTTTAGGGTAAGGGTGAGTTGAGTGCGTAAGGAGTACTTCACATCTTTATCTCGTGGATAGGCAGGCAGCTATGGCAGAGCGATTCGGCGGCCCTGCCCTCGAGATTTCACCCCTCATTGTTTCTCGCTAGCCAATTCTGTGTTTCATATTAGATCAATACGATGGTGCAATCTACTTGTTGGATAAGGTTCTTAATACATCTCAACTGTACATCTTTCAAGTTCGAGTGACGCAGTGGCTAGCGTGTGAGATTGCAAATCTCGAAGTCCATGGTTCGAATCCGTGCTCGGACTTGACTTTTTCTTTTTGCTACCACTACTCATTACCTATATCCCGTCCGCTAACGTCAGGCACAATTAGGTTAGTTTTTTTCTTCTTTTCCTTGGTATTACGTTTTAGGTAAATTCCTTTGCATAGCCGTGATAACAGATAACTTTGAAATAATGCAAGCAGCTATAGTCAAAGAATCACCCTCAGAATTGTAACCTCAGACAGTAATTTTTCAGGCCCTGGCAACGAAAAGTAGATTCAGTAAATGAAACTAAATATTACACAGGAAAGAACCAACATCTTCGGCGCGCATAGCCAGCCTTCTCAGCACTTGTGATCATTCCTGGACATCTATAGCGGGGATGCGCTGCTTTGCTGTTGGCTGCTATTCGGATTACTGGACCTGATATGCTACTTCTGCTTCAATGGTAGCTGAACGGCCATTTTCCGAGGGCTTTTGGACCTTGAACTTGAAGTGGTGCTGCAATTTTGACCCTGTGCTCCTTGCATAGCCTGAAGCAGTCTCTACGTCTGACGGCTCTTAGTCTAAACCTCGGAGGGCTCGTCACTTGGCACTTGGCACTTGGCAATTGCCATCGTAGAAAGACGCGCATGCTTTGAGGCGTAATGCTTAAATACGAAAGAATGTATGCATTGTAAGAAGCCGTCTGGATTCTGAGCCAGGAGATGGCAAAAAGATGCGTTTGCGGAGGAGAAAGCCTGCCATATCCAGATTATTTGAGTTGGGTGCCAGGACACTTGTTAACGTGATTCACTGCCAGTGACACGATCAACTGCTGCGTGTATCTATAGATCAATTTGTCCTCTTTTTAAGGCCAAGACAGAATAGCTGTAAACATCAACAGACTGGGTTAGGTTGGGTTGGGTTGGATTGGTGGTGCCACAAGCTGAAGGCTCTACTCCGTAGCTCAATGCTGCTTGCCCGTTGCTATACTCTGCGTGTCCTGTGCCGTGGCATGAAAATCTTTCATATTTGACAAAAATAATTCTTGCTTTGATCAATAGTAGGGTTATGAATAGCCAATCGAACGAGCAAAGCAGGCCGCGGCCGGAATCTGAAGCATTCTGAGATTTGGTGTCCAAACATAATGGCGGAAATGCAAGTGACATCATGAGCAAGATAATAGCAGCTTCGATGTTTGTTAGTTCGTTCGTTCTGATAGCGATGGTGTGAGGCGTGAGTCGTCTGCATTGAACCAGTGGCTCACGATGCCTGGAAGAGAGTCCAGTCCAAGCTTGGGCTACACTACCCGATGCAAACTGAGAAATCCAAGCCCTGTACATAATATCTAGAAGGCAGTGGCCTACTCGTTTATGATGTTGGCTTTGTAGCTTCCCCTGCAGTGAATGAGATTGAAGAGGGCAAAGATCTCAATGGAAGTTTATCGGCGTCCCGGTATACGGCTGAAGAACTCTACGAGCTCGAGGGCAGAATCAGCTTTCCCAAGAAGTGGCTTAGCACCACCAAAAAAGGCTCGACTTACTAACCAAGGGTCATTGAGATAACGTCAACGCCCCAAAATGAGCTAGCATATGGTGGTATCTTGTTAATACAATATTTGGTGCGGGATGCAAAGAGGTCAGTCCCAGCAAATCTGCCATCATTTTGTCATAATCTGGATTTCTTTGACCTAATTGAGTCATTTCTGCACGACCCTTAATCCCGGTTACCCGGTGCCTTGACATATCCAAGGCCGCGCTTGATAATAGAAGGGAATGAAAAGAGATGCGTCGCAGCTGATGGGCTGTGTTGATCATCTAGGTGGCCAAGTATGTATGCGGATGTCTGGTTGCGGAAGGATATATTCAGCCAGCTTAGCCTTACCTTGTGCATAGAGCGTCATAGTTAGGATATGACCTCCTAACCCCGGTGTTTAAGTTGTTTCAATGTCTTCGTTGTTGCTTTGAAACAACTCATTGGGGCTGACCTTGGCCTTGTCGACATGTTTGAAGTTCGTTGTGTTTATACAGTGGAAGAATCCCGAAAGTCCAAATCCAATTGCATTGCCTCTAAGGAGGACTATGCAACGCGATATGCCTTTTCTGAGCCGGTTTCAAGATATTCAACTCGTAGTGTGGCACCACGAGCGAGCGACATCGGTTTCGAACCCCTAATCATTGGATGCGGAACATGGAACAAGTGAAAGTATCTACCTCCTACTCTCCGCAAATGCCCTACGTGAAACCGAGCCTCAGATATGGACATACTTTTATCTCACCGATATATTCGGAACGGATGTTCTTTGGACTTACGTCGGGGGTTCTGGCCCACTTCATTGCGCTTTTATTATTCTTGAACAGATTATTATAAGGATCGGGCGACGGCGGTTCCTTTGTACTTGTGTTGGAGATTCGCCGTGCCGTCGCGGTTAAGTGCGTCCGCATCGCTTGTATTCCTAACAACACTTTTGTGCAGCACTGGAACATCGATCCAACACTACTGGCAACCGCTCCATCCAAGTCCTTTCTGATTCTTCCTCTTGTAGTTACAGTGTCATTAACGGGTTCGGGTGATAGAAGGATTATAACCCTTTGGCGAAATATTCTAATATCTAATTCCCGCTGGCCAAGTCTCCTGTCCCCGTAGTTGTACTGTCCAGCACCATTCGCATCTACACCAACTGTCGAGTAAGACGGAAGGGTGACGCAGTGTGATCTGGTTAGTCCTATATGATTGATCTGTCCTTTATTCTTGGCGTTTTTCTTATTCATGGACTCCTCAATTCGTGACTCAAAAGTAAAGCATGAGGGGTGTACCCTTCCGAGAAACATTGTACATTTTTTCGCCACACATTACGAGAAGAGTAACGGATCTAGCCATGGGTGTGTAAGTCTTAGGTGTGCTCTTTTTTATGCTTGCTACATCAGTCTTTGCTAGCTCACGGTGTCTTCGTGCCGGCTGCGAATCGCAGCCTATAGTCTCCAAAGGCCTCAATAACCGCGGGCGGTTGCCATGCGTACCACTCGCCCTTGTGAAACGCAAGCCACACACTATACTCGTCGGACCATATGCCAAAGTGCCATCTAGTTCCATCCCACCACTTTGCACACGTATTATTTTCACCCTCTTTCCATTCCAAGCCGCTTGTTTTGAAACCGGGCCCAGGTAAAACCCGAGGGCGGGATGACTCCCCGTTGTATACTTCTGTGGATAGTTTGTACATTAGTGTGTGCTAGAACTATGTCAGCCGCCATACCGATCAGCTTGGAAAGAATGCTGTACCTGTAAATCAAGGATCGTCGGTGTGAATTGCGAAAATCCTGGGCTTGGAAGTCTTGATTGCTAGTGGGGTGGGTTGTTTAAATGGTCGACTTTTGGGTTTTTTAAAGAGGAGTGCGAGATTGTACACGTGGTGGGATTGAGAACAGAAGAGAATTTGAGGGTCGATGAAGGGAAGAAAGCAAGCAAGTTGATAGTTTGTCGACCCAAAAGGCGCATCGAACACTCACGTATACTGAAGTCTGACACACACCCAGCAACGCTCCGTACACTTGGAGAGAGGCTTCTCGCAAAGGCCTCCCGTAATTCGTAGTGACTTTTCTCTTGCCGAGATCAAATGGTCTTGCAGGTTGCTTGCCTCTTGTGGAGCAACTGCGCACTTCAATTGAACAAAATAATGAATGAACGTGTGAGGCACGAAGGCCAAGTAAACTTCGGGGGGAAAACTTCTGTTATTCAATTCTTGATGATGCTCTGTCTCTCGAAGAGCACGATCGCACTACTTATAGCTATACTATTTGAATTGACCAAATTGGTCAAGTCCGCAACGCACGTGAATTCAACCTTGTCACCCTAGGGGATCATTTCCGCCCACACAATAGTATTAAATAATACACTGCTCTCTATCCAGTTTGTTTAGTACACTCTACTTTCAGAGCTTATACTAACCCGACACTGGTAGGTCTTGAGCTTGATAATATTTATAGATTGCTGAGGCCGACCAGCCAACCATGTATAATTTTACCCAAGCTCAGGCCTCCAATTCTAGGTCATGCAAACATGTCGGCAGTCATACTGTCTACTGCTGCTCTAATAGCCTTGAAACTTTTTGAAGCTCGCTTAATCGCCGTAGCTCCATTGAATTCCCTTTGAAGATTGTGAGAAGCTAGACCTGATGTGATCTCTTAGAACTTACGAAATAGTGCCAGACGAAGGTTGAATATCCGCACCCCTGACTTTTCGGAAGGTTCTAGGAAAGCAGCGGAGATGACAGGCATCCAACGAGCGAGACTAGTCAACTCAGGCTTTCCTCATCTATTGATAAAGCCCTCGCGGCTAATGTAGCTTAATATCTTTGAAGAACCTTCAGCTACAGTTGGAAGAAGTCATCAAGTATGTGCACACATTCAGGTATCGTCAACGCTAACGTCACTAGGGCAGGCATGCAAAAACCTTGTGCCCCATATTGAACTTTCCGCTCATCTGTTTCTCCCTTCTGCGGAGACTCGTTGCTGATAAGATTGAAGGAATGATGTTAAGGAATGCCTGGTCGTGAATGAGCTGCATGCTGCATATACGCGCCTGGGAGGGAATTCATACCTGCTTCATCCGCTTGAACAATAGCGTGTGCATTTTTCAGGTTCGGAGATGATGTGACTATTTCAAATTTGAACCATAGATATATAGTACCTAAATTTCCCGTGATTTCACTCTATTCTCATTCGCGTGGATTTGACTTGATACCTCACATCCGAAATTTAGACTGCGAGCAACCACAATGCATTGTTTGATGTATAGCTAGCTTCACTCCGTACGGGGTACCACAGCATTAAACCCACAGAGTGCATCTAAGCGCGCTAGACGGCTGAGCTCCCCGAATCGAGTTTGCGCCGAGCTCGTCATGCTGCCGCATCGACGATCCACACCATGTGCGGCTCTCTGTGTGCCGCCGCATGCCACCGTACGCCTTACGCTTTCATTAGTGGCGGCAGGAGTTGTGGGAATGCTTTTACTAAAGTGGATAAAGCAATCTAAGTGTCAGTGATATTGATTCTGAGCCGA